GACAGTGAGTCATATGTCACCCTGACAGTGAGTCATATGTCACCCTGGCAGTGAGTCATATGTCACTCTGGCAGTGAGTCATATGTCACTCTGGCAGTGAGTTATGTCACCCTGGCAGTGAGTCATATGTCACCCTGGCAGTGAGTCATATGTCACCCTGGCAATGAGTCATATGTCACTCTGGCAGTGAGTTGTATGTCACCCTGGCAGTGAATTATATGTCACCCTGGCAGTGAGTCATATGTCACCCTGACAGTGAGTCATATGTCACCCCGACAGTGAGTCATATGTCACCCCGGCAGTGAGTCATATGTCACCCTGGCAGTGAGTCATATGTCACTCTGGCAGTGAGTTATGTCACCCTGGCAGTGAGTCATATGTCACCCTGGCAGTGAGTCATATGTCACCCTGGCAATGAGTCATATGTCACTCTGGCAGTGAGTTGTATGTCACCCTGGCAGTGAATTATATGTCACCCTGGCAGTGAGTCATATGTCACTCTGGCAGTGAGTCATATGTCACCTTGGCATTGAGTCATATGTCACCCTGGCAATGAGTTATATGTCACTCTGGCAGTGAGTTATATGTCACCCTGGCATTGAGTTATATGTCACCCTGTCAGTGAGTCATATGTCACTCTGGCAGTGAGTCATATGTCACTCTGGCAATGAGTCATATGTCACTCTGGCAGTGAGTCGTATGTCACCCTGGCAATGAGTCATATGTCACTCTGGCAGTGAGTTGTATGTCACTCTGGCAGTGAGTCATATGTCACTCTGGCAGTGATTCATATGTCACTCTGGCATTGAGTCATATGTCACCCTGGCAGTGAGTTATATGTCACCCTGGCAGTGAGTTATATGTCACCCTGGCAGTGAGTTATATGTCACCCTGGCAGTGAGTTATATGTCACCCTGGCAGTGAGTAATATGTCACCCTGGCAGTGAGTTATATGTCACTCTGGCAGTGAGTCATATGTCACTCTGGCAGTGAGTCCATATGTCACTCTGGCAGTGAGTTATATGTCACCCTGACAGTGAGTTATATGTCACCCTGACAGTGAGTTATATGTCACTCTGGCAGTGATTCATATGTCACTCTGGCATTGAGTCATATGTCACCCTGGCATTGAGTCATATGTCACCCTGGCAGTGAGTCATATGTCACCCTGGCAGTGAGTCATATGTCACCCTGGCAGTGAGTCATATGTCACCCTGGCAGTGAGTCATATGTCACTCTGGCAGTGTGTCATATGTCACTCTGGCAGTGATTCATATGTCACTCTGGCAGTGATTCATATGTCACTCTGGTAGTGATTCATATGTCACCCTGGCATTGAGTCATATGTCACCCTGGCATTGAGTCATATGTCACCCTGGCATTGAGTCATATGTCACCCTGGCATTGAGTCATATGTCACTCTGGCAGTGAGTCATATGTCACTCTGGCAGTGAGTCATATGTCACTCTGGCAGTGAGTCATATGTCACCCTGGCATTGAGTCATATGTCACCCTGGCATTGAGTCATATGTCACTCTGGCAGTGAGTCATATGTCACTCTGGCAGTGAGTCATATGTCACTCTGGCAGTGAGTCATATGTCACCCTGGCAGTGAGTCATATGTCACCCTGGCATTGAGTCATATGTCACTCTGGCAGTGAGTCATATGTCACTCTGGCAGTGAGTCATATGTCACTCTGGCAGTGAGTCATATGTCACCCTGGCATTGAGTCATATGTCACTCTGGCAGTGAGTTGTATGTCACCCTGGCAGTGAATTATATGTCACTCTGGCATTGAGTCATATGTCACTCTGGCAGTGAGTCATATGTCACCCTGACAGTGAGTCATATGTCACCCTGACAGTGAGTCATATGTCACCTTGGCATTGAGTCATATGTCACCCTGGCAGTGAGTTATATGTCACACTGGCATTGAGTCATATGTCACCCTGACAGTGAGTCATATGTCACCCTGACAGTGAGTCATATGTCACCCTGACAGTGAGTCATATGTCACCCTGGCATTGAGTCATATGTCACCCTGGCAGTGAGTCATATGTCACCTTGGCATTGAGTCATATGTCACTCTGGCATTGAGTTGTATGTCACTCTGGCAGTGAGTCGTATGTCACTCTGGCAGTGAGTCGTATGTCACTCTGGCAGTGAGTTGTATGTCACACTGGCAGTGAGTAATTGTTACAGAAACCCCAATTGATGACTCCAGCACATTGGCATGCCCCATCAAATGACTCGGTTTAACTGAGCTGAAATACAGTTTTTTCTAACACGGCCACTCACTGGTTCGTACACGACCATGTATGATCGCTCTCAGTGAAACAGTGCAAATCCGACAACGTAGTAAGTTATACAATGTGACTATACTTACAGCAATAGTGAATATTTGTACAGTATGTCGTTTATATATAATTTATCATTCAAACATATGCATTGTATAATATCACAAGGTATACAAATGACATTTCACACCCATCCTAAAACTAGTGGGCTTATTCTCGGAATTTTGGTCTTAGTATCAAATCATGTTTACATGTCATACTTTCATATTGTGATCGCATCATTATTGTTATCTTTAATAGTCGGGTTAAATAAAATATTCATGACTATCATTAACTATCATTAGTATTCTAAGCAAGTTGTATGCTAAGCAGCCCTGTAATATTCATAACACTAGAACCCCCTAGTCTGGTTAATATTTATCTAATTTGCATATTTGACTATGTGTGTTGTCCATAAATAGAAATGGTCATATGTATATTTAATAATTGCAGGTAGGGAAAGTGTGAACTGTCTGGAATTTGAAAGTATCAAATAACAAAATGACCTCTTATGTATTTAATTTTTGCGAAATTTGGGATCACTTGTGCTTGAGTAAAAATATTGTATTTAATGTCAAAAATACCTCATTCATAATCAGCGATTGTTTACAATTAATTTTTTAGTGTTGCCATGATTGATGGTTGTCTTTATTTCATCACCATTTTTTTGTGTGAATTCCCCAGATGTGCATGTCAGTCTGTCGACAGTGTGCAGCCATCAAAACAAGTTATTTTGTGAGCAGTAACAAAATGAACACTTATAGAGAAACATTGTTTACAAATTTTGGAATGTCATCTTGAGTTAGATTCCGCTCTTCTATAGCAATTAAATTATGTCTAACCTTTCCCATTTGACACTGAGATTCACTTTACTCTGAAATGTTGCTGCACACACATTCCTGTAATTTTCAACAAGTCCCATCTTTGCTGGCAGAAGGTGATATCTTTGGGTCCTAAAAATAATATTTGTGGTTACAGTTCTTTTTTTCTTAAGATATTTGTCTGAATTTTATGAAAAGAAAAGTCAATGTTCATGGAATTTAAAAGAAAAAAAGAAAATAACATACATGAATGGATTTATGGAAAACAAATTGAACAAGAAGTATGATTTCCAGAGTTAACCTTTTCACCACCAGTTCCTTATTTTCTTTAAAAATTCACAAAATAATCCCATTTATATTCTGCACTTTTCTTCAGAAGATTGGGACAAAATTAGCCAAATTTTTGGAGTAAAAACTAAAAATTTACTCAAACTTTATCTGTTGGCTCCAAAATTAGTGTTCATTTCCAGAATTATTGAAGAATATAAGAAAAAAAAACATTTGGGTGAGAAAGTCTGGTGATAATAATTGGAAACTATCGGTAAAAGGATTTAATAATACATGACCAATTATCATGATATGTGTAATACATTGCAGCTTTATTACATGGTTTTAAAATAGATTATTGCATAGAATTGCATACACATGTCTGTCTCTATCAATGTACTTTAACATCAAAGAAAAAAGAAACACCACCTAATTTCTTATAATATATCTGATGATAATGGAATCACGGTCTGCTCTCTGACACTGTAGAACGCTGTGAGCTTCTTTGTTATAATGTACTTATGTGTCCTAATGAAAAAATCGTACTTACACACTGAGTTGAAAATCCGCTTATTCTGTTGACTGCAATATATGCTAAGAATTTGAAAGCAAAGGCAACAGAGCCAGTTGATTTATTGATCACCATGATATCCCTCCCAATATCCTTAAAACGTAATATACCGCAATGTTTACATGGCTAATTTTTTTCCATAAATTTTAATTAAGTCTTGAAGCCAGTAAGGAATTATATTCATTTACAGAGTAATTATAAAAAAAATACATAAAAATTTTGATTTTGTCAGAAAAATCATGTAATGCAGTTTTGAGGGTTATTTGTATTTCATGCTATTAAATGTAATAAGAGATTACCCAGGACTATGATGTGTAAATAGATTTTACTACGGTACATGTAGCAATTGCAAGCTGTCTTAATTTGCCAGGAGTGATTCAACCTTAATTTCACACTGTTTATGTACACACAGTATTATATGATAAGATATTGCTTACCTTTTAACCATTTCTGCGATTAACACTTTCACAGTCAGATTTTGTTTCTGATAACATTTTAGTATGAAAGCATTTGCAAACATTCTTGAAATCAAATCTTATTACAGATCTAAACAGAATATATGGATTATATATTTATCTGAAATTAACAACTTTGATAACCATCTTATCCTGGTTAACCTTGGTTCACAAAATAAAGGAATCAAAGAAAATGCTTGTTTTGATATTTTTATGATGGGATTTTGCCACACAATGTGTTATGTTATCAGTAATACTGTGGAATACTTTATTTTCGCTGGAATTAATTTTCGCTGAAAAGGCGTTTTGGGCGTTTTGTATGGAATTCATTTTCACTGATTTTTGATGAGTTTAATGCGAAATATAGGAAAAAAAGTATATTCGCTGGATTTTATTTTCACAGAATCATCCCTCCAGCGAAAATAGCGAAAATAAATTCCAAGCGAAAGTAAAGTATTCTACAGTAGAACATTTCATCAGGGTTGTTCTTCTTGACAGTCATTTTACTTACAATGCTTATATATGTTTTCTTTTGTTGTTTTTTTGCAGATTCGATCCACTTTATCTGTCGTAATAATAATTTTACTGTAGCTGGTGAGACTGGTTATGACCAAGTGGTATATTGTAAGTATAGGTCACATGATCCAAAGACTGCCCTCTATAGTCAAGTAGGTCATGCGATTAACTGTCCTCTATAAGACTACAGTACTTTCCCAGAAGTAGCAAGACTGGGGTGCAGACATTTTTCATGTCAGAGATTAAAAACATGACAGTTAGCTGATAGTCGATGGAAGGGAATTTTATCTTGTGACGTTGATTGGTACACCCTGCAGTACAATATCATGCATGTAAGTTTACATTACACCCCAAAACAGTATGCGAATTGCTATATCTTCGACTTCCGGGAAAGTAGTATCTAGTCATGTAGATCACATGATCTATTGGCTAGTTCCTGCCCAAGTAATGGTTCTAGTATTCTGATTGGTTCATCACGTTCTCGATTTTTGTTCTATTTCCCTTGCTTACTTGACGTCAGTGCTTACGCTCGTAACTAGTCATGCTCGATCATTCCCTGGTACACAGAGTGACACGACAGAAAATCATACACTGACCCTTATAGAAATTTTCCCTCTGTTCAGTGTAGTTCCTGCATATACGCTAGTTATAGTAATCTTACTATGACTATGGAATTTGTAATTTAGTAAAATCTCTATGTTTTTCCACAAAATAAGTATAAATAATCTCTAATTTTGGTAAAAAAGTGATATTTTCGACTTCTTCCTAAAAACTGCTAGTCCAATTGCTTTGATATTACATATATAGGTACTACATGTGAACCTCTCTCAGATTTGTTCATTTTGTAATAATATCTTTAATTCTCTAATTTTAATGAAGATTTTTATCATTTTTGGTAAAAAGTGATATTTTCGAATTCTTGTTGAAAACAGCAAGTCCGATTGCTTTGATACTATACATATTACTCATTTTCTAATGATATCTTCAGTTCTTTAATTGTAATGTGCATTGCTAACAGCGGAGCTATCTCAGCCCACAGGCTGCTTGTTTTATATATTTTTCAATATTTCTTGAAATGAACCCTAATTTTAGAGCCAATAGACAAAATTTGAATAAATTTTCAGATTTTACTCAACAATTTGGCTATTTTTGTCCCAGTTTCTGATTTAGTGCAGACTATAAACGGTACTATTTTGTGATGAAAAGAGGGAACTGGTGGTGAAAAGGTTAAATCCATATAAGATCAGTGCATATGGTGTTCTCCTTATCTAAAGAGCACTGTGTGTCATATTCACAATATATGTAAAATTTGTAACAGTGGTCATCACCATAGTTTGTTGTATTTTTATCACAGATACAGCGCTGGCAGCAGCAACATGTGCATGTCTGTGTTTGATATTACAAGTATTTGGTGCTTTATCAGGAGTACAAGCTGCATGGCAGATCAAATCATCACTTTTTACCGATTGCGGACTCATGTTTCTATTTGCCGGTGAGTTGAAAATGTCAGTCTTTATTTCCCCATATAACAATTTAATCCATGGAAAGGTAGGTTGGTGGGTCATCCCAAATATCCGATACTAAGTACACATACAGTACATGAAATACAAAAGAGTAATTCTATCACTAAAAATATCTTGACATTCTGATCTGATAAATGTTATCTCTGTCTACCCATATCATTTGCATTACCTGATAAGGTAGGATCTTGATATCATGTCTGTGTAAGATTCAAACTTTGTGTACTGAGGTACATCTGTTACTACGCAGTAAAGATGAAGATTATTTTTTTTTTATTCTGAACCAAGGTCTGTCTTCTCAGATTTACAAAATTTAATAAATATTTCATGTATGTCTGACCAATAGAATATTCCCTGTTGTTAGTTTATTGATTCAATTGTCTGAGTTTGGATGAACTCCTTTTCTGTCTGAAGTTGCTAGTAACAGCTGTTTGACTAATAGATTATGATTACTCTTCTTGTGCAATTTACTACATATCTTGGTATATCTAGTCACCCTGTCTGCGCAATATTCACATCAATATTCAACTACCATATTTCCTCTATTACAATGCCACAATCTCACTGTGTTTTCTCAAATTCAACATGACATGGAGCGATGACTCTGATATAATATAAAATATTAAATTTTAAACAAATATGCCTGAGAATTATGACTGCTGAGAAAAATTGACATTTGGGAAATAAAAGACTTTTATATACTGTAAATGTATTAATTATTCACTGGGTTTTAATTTCACTATTTTTGCTGAAAAGTAAAATCCGCTAAATTAAAACATGTAAAATAATAATAAAACTTGTTGTTTCTTTGACAAATTTGTGAACTTATGAATATTTTCAAAATAGTGAAAATAAATGGTTTTACAGTATTTCAAAAGACAATGACAACTACCGGTAGTTGTACGATACATACATACAATATAAAAGGATCATAAATCTGAATATTTCAGGGGTCAAAGTTAAGAACAGCATAAGGTGCACAAAGTAACAACTCTTATCCAAGTGATATCATTTTCCAAATTTAGTCACAACCATCATCATAGAGTTGCTTAGTCAGAAAACAGGGACTTATGTTTTGACCTTTGTGCGTCCGTGCATGTGTCCAGACCTGTATCTTAGACATGTCTTGACCAATCACAATCAAACTTCACACATACATCATACATAATATTATACATATGCACATCAATTTGTTCTACGATGGCCGAATAGCGGCCATTTTTGTGCTTAAAAATCATCAAAATCAACCAGTTATGGATGCAATTTGTTTAAACTTGATACATACGTTGGACATTGTGATACCTTGATGCTCATCATTCTATTTTTCAGATCCAATTTAAAATGGCCGACTGGCGGCCATTTTGTTTTAATGAATGCAGTTCTAGTGCCATATCTCTGCCATGCTTTGACTGATCATGATCAAATTTTATATATTCATTATACATCATGACATTGATATATTGGTTTGACTATCTGATTCAGAATGGCCAAATGGCAGCCATTTTTGTGCTAAAAAATCATCAAAAATTAAGCCTTTCTCGCATATATATCTTAAATTTGATAACTAACAGGGACTGTGCCATGCATGGCTTGTGTTTTCTAAAACACCAATCTGTCATCAACGGTGATTGTCCTCACAAATTGAGCAAAGACATGAAACGCCTATATCTTAAAAATGGTAAATCAGCTAAGCCTCAAGATTTTATATTTTTTTTCAAATTTGTGCCCTTATTATTATGCTTCATATATCATCTCAGGCAATAAATGCTATATCTTCCTGTACAAAGCCTGGTGATAAAAACACAGAATTCATAAAATGACGTCAACAACTTGGTCTAAATTTAAGTATACTAAAATTCAATTTATATTTTCTTACATGAGTAATTCTGCATACTGTTTTCACTTGAAATTTATTTTTGCTAATTTCACTGAAAAAAAATGAATCAGTGAAAATAGTTTTTATTTTTCAATATTTTACATTTAAGTCATCAAAAATCAAGTGAAAATAAACTTAATACAAAACTGACCATGAAAATCTCAGTGAAAATTAATCCCAACTAAAAATAAAATACTTTATAGTTTTCACAATGATGATAAAACTGAATTCAAATATGCAAAGTAATACACGACTTTGTATTATTCATATAAAAAGTAGAAGAATTGTGTAGTATTGAGAGTGATTATTGCTTCCTGTTGGTCATATTGATTTGCAAGATGATATGGTACATTGTAACAATAATATATAGCCTGTCTGAAGAGGGATTTGTTGTTGACATTTTAATGGGGTTCTTTGTATAGGCATCTAATTGTACATTCAGTTTGCCTTTGCCGCTTACTTTTGTCTAATGTTGTAAATCAGTTTTGACATAAAATAATATTACGGCAATATATGCAAAATATATTTAATGTAACATATAGGAATTTTCTTTATCTCAATAAAGCTGAAATAGAAATACAAGGCTGTGAAATTGTATTTTTGTTCTCATGCAGACAGAAAAGTAATTGTCTAGACCTGTTATCAGGAGCAAGCGCTGAATGCTAATTTACCTGTCTGTCGTCTTTCATAGAAATTTAAGATCAAATATAGATACAAGAAAATAACGTGTTATTAAAAAAAAAAATACCGACAAATTAAATATCTAGTCAAAATAAAATTTAGAAACATTTTAAAATGTATTAATGATGAAAGATATAAAAAATACAAACAAGAAATGATCACATATCATAAGCCAGACTTCCTAATGATTCATAATTGAATGTCATAATTTGCTGTAAACCTTTCTGTTTTTGCAAGAGATTAATTTTGTGAGTTAGGATAAGCTGTGCAATTTTATAGTAGTGAGCATTATTATCGGGATGTTTACGTCTATCAAGACTTAATAATTGTTTAAAGTCAGTAGGCAATGAGAGTCCTTGTGCCCAATTTTCTTTGTCTTTTTGGCAATCAATGACTGCATTTTATGATTTTCAGTACATGCTGCATGAGCTAATATTATGCTATGTTATTTAGTGTCACCAATCAATGAGCCCGATTTAAACAAATCAATGACTGCATTTTATAATTGTTACTAAATGCTGCATGAATTACTATTATGTTTCATTTAGTGTCACCAATCAATGAGTCCGATATAAAATCAATGACTGCATTTCATGATTTTCACTACATGCTTGCATGAGCATTATGTCACCAATCAATGATTCAAATTTAAACAAATCAATGGCTCATTTCATAATTGTCATTAGATGCTGCATGAATTAATTATATGCTATTCCATTTAGTGTAACCAATCAATGATTCAAATTTAAACAAATCATTGCCTACATTTCATAATTGTCATCAAAAGATTGCATTACTGTAATGTCAATAGTGTCTGCAATCAATGAATCAGATTTGACCTTATAATATTGATTTCTTTATATTTGCATAATAAGGAGTAAGAGGGTCTTTGTTAGCACATATACGGGTAAATGAAATAATATTGATGGAATAATCACACCACAATGTACAGTAGAAAGATAGTCAGTGAATATACAGAGTGGATCAATAATTTCACAATAACATCAAGACTTGTGCAAAAAATTAATAAATGGTCACCGACCTCATTTATTCATATGATTAATACAACATTTAAAGTTAATGAGAAAAAATTAGTTTACATATTATATATTATAAAAAAAATTGTAGGGTGAGCAAAAAAAGAAAAAAGATTCACCAGTCTATTTTTGTTTTAAATTATTTTAATTTAAATATTTTGCTCTATTTTAATAAAGACAGTACAAAATGTATTTATATTCTGTAATGAAAACGCCATTGCATCAACTATGAAGAATCTGTAGAATTGCACTTTGTATTATCTGTAGATAAAACTAGTTTAATATTTATATATAATCCCATGATATTTTCTCTTAGTTTAACATCAGCAGACACAAGGGATTAAGAGTTTTATATTAATCCAAGCCATAGGCAAGGATTGATGCAACTCTGGCTGTAGTCATGCATGCCTGATTTCATCAGACAAAAAGGAAATATCGTGGGATTAAATATTTATCAAATTCATCTTGTATGCAAATGTTGTTTATGCAAATGAGTTGAATTGCACTTGAACCTCAGATAACCCAGTATTTCTGGAAGTATAAATAAAGTAATATTGATCAATTGAGGTTGATAAATTACATTCAAATATGCCAGAATTAGTACATAGCTGTCATAGCTGTACTATTTGTCCATGTTGGTACATTACATTATATCACATTATATTACGCTACGTATACAGTCAAACCTGTGTCTGTGAACACCTGCTTATAGTGACCACTTGTAGGTAGTAACGAGGCATAATGTATGAGCAACTTGTGTATAAAGACCACCTGCTTATAGTGACCACTTTTAGGTAGTAACAAGGCATAATGTATGAGCAACCTGTGTATAAAGACCACCTGCCTATAGTAACCACTTTTAGATGGTAACAAGGCATAATGTATGAGCAACCTGTGTATAAAGACCACCTGCCTATAGTGACCATTTTTAGGTAGTAACAAGGCATAATGTATGAGCAACCTGTGTATAAAGACCCCCTGCCTATAGTGACCACTTTTAGATAGTAACAA